TTTCGTCGCGCAAAGTTACTTAGAGCGACGAATTTTTTTTCGTCGCGCAAAGTTACTTTGAGCGACGAATTATTTTTCGTTGCGCAAAATTTGGTCGCGCAAGACTTTGAGCGACGACGTATTGTTGTCGCGCAAAAGTTGGTCGCGCAAAGTCACTTTGAGCGACGAATTATTTTTCGTCGCGCAAAAGTTGATCGCGCAAGGTTTTTCGCGACGAAATTTTGAGTTTCGTCGCGCAAAGTGTGTTTGCGCGACGAATAATTTTTCGTCGCGCAAAATTTGGTCGCGCAAGGGTTATTTTGTAGTAGTGCTGAAATCATGATTGTATGTCCAAGTTGACATTATATCTTCTCGATTCTCAATAGGAACCTCTTTAAGACAATAAGAAGTCTCCACCAAAATTTTACACCAAGACCATCACAGCTCGCACCCATTTTTATCATGTCAAAATCTACGTCCAATGTGATTGTGGAAGTTGAGAAGTCGAATTCATGTATCCATATGAAACGTTGTATATGAAGAAGATGAACCAGTTAGTTACTTCGGTATTAGGTTATTGCTTTCTAATTTATTGTTGACTGTGCTTCTGTATGTGTTGTACTGGATAAAATACCAATATTTTAATCTGTACCCGCCATTTCATATCGTAGGTGCTGATTTCAGTTGTCAGCTCCTAGCTAGAAATTAAGGTAGAATTTTTGTGTCAAGTAAGTACTTGAAAGTGTTGGCCAGAATCCAACACAAACATTATGTTGTCAGAAAAGTCTTGTTATTTCCCAACCATAACCAAAAACGAATTTGCACCGGAAAAAATAAGCAAAGTAATGTATGTACTCACTACAGGCATACAAATTCAACATTTGAAGGCAATTTTAATTTAACGAGTTGCATGGCATGCTCTCTTGCCTTCGCTTCCTCAATGACTTCTTTACTTCCCCTATCCATTTCACTAGGATACTTTTCAATAGGATACCTCCAACGCCGGACAGGATCAATAACAATTTTCTCTAACGCAGTAGCACTCTTTATTAAGAACTTTATATGTTCAACAGCAGAAGCACGAGCACGATAGCCTACTATTTCTACTAGCTTGAGGTAATGATGGGGGCATGTAGCAGCTTTCTTTATTTTTCTACCGTCTATGTGTAGGGAGAAATCCAACTGCAACAAGAAAACAATTTAGTGTACAGCACAACAAGAAACATAACGATAATTTCTATAGCAAGTTTCATCACACAACTAAATTTTCCTTTTTTTGTTGTACATTTCGTTCTTCAAAATTGTTAATGGAACGAAAAGAACATGAACGAAATCACCAAAAGTGCACATACAAAGACCTACATATAGTTTTACTCAGTAATCTACGAGTACAAACATATACCTTCAACGCGAGTCTTTGCAAGAAAGGAGATGCTTTCAGAAAAGAAGTTAAATGATGAAGAGCCAGACGGTACTCCGCAAAAAGTATTAATTCCAAATGCTTGAGATTTGCTAGTGTAGGAAACACATGTTCCTGATCGTAAACCTGAAAGCCAAACAAGGAGCAATAATGAGCTACATATCCCTGTATGAAGAAAAGAAAACCAACACAATCGTAATTACATATATACTAACCGATCCGGTGATATCCAGCATGAGAATCTCCAACTGAGAAAGATAACATGAAAGTTGGCTAGAGTAAAGCTTTATGGATGCAGGGTGCAGGGAAATATGGGAAAGGGACACCTCCACAAGCAATGGTACATTACTGAGAAGCAGGTTCATCACAACACCCCGATACATAAATGAAATAATGTTTGCCCCTGAAATCTCAATGCTTTTAAGGGCACAACAATATTTTATCACTAAATGCTTCAACGTAACCGATGGATGAACAACTCTTATATTAACCAAACTTTTCGTTTCGGACACGGTTAAATGTTCAAGAACTGGACAGTTGGACAATAAGTATTCAAGAACTTCATCAGTCACATCAACACATTTGAACAGAAGAACTTTAAGGTTGAGAAATCCAATTTTGTATCCACAAGGGCGTAGACTTGGAAGGTGAGAATGCAAGTTCCTCTTTTCGAGACCTAATAGTTTGTGGGGAAATGCATACATCTTTTTTGAACCAACGCTATTTTGTAAAGAAAACTTCAACACGAGTGTTTCAACTCCCTTTTCCATTGCAATCTGAATCCATTTGTCAATGGAACTTCGAAACCGACTATTTAGTTGGAAGCAAACCCTGAATTCTTCAATTTTTGGGCCTTTATGTTGTTCCACCACACGATTCACCCAATTGACATACATACCGCTTTCTAGGTATCTTTTCTTTTTTTTTGAGGAGGATGAAGCGGTAGATATTTTTACCAGTATCATAGTTATTAGCAAGAACTGCCAACGTCTAGAAAGGATACTAGTAGCGGTTGCCTCCTTTAGCGACAAAAGAGACAATATACTGACAAGAATTTCATCTGGCATCTCACTAATTTTGTCAACCAAGAAGTTGTACACACCTTTTTCTCCCTCATTCTTTCCCTCATTCTTTTCTTCACAACATCTACGTCGCTTCCCTGAGTTCTTTCAGTCACAACATCTGTGTAGCTTCCTTGAGTTATCTGCTTCACAACGTCTGTGTCGCTTTCCTGAGTTATTTCCTTCACAATGTCTTAGTCGCTTTCCCAAGTTGCACTCATACTTCTAATAGAAGAAACAGCCCGAATAAAATAAAAAAGAAAAGAGTAAAGAGTGGGGAATTTTATTGGGTAATTATCTCTCTTTAATGTCATGATTCCATCACATTGTTATATTTAATTCACATGAAGAAATAATAAATAAAACAATGACAACCACAATAAAACCAACCATAATGCACCTACATATAAGAGAAAATTAATTATAGTGTGAGAGAGGATTAAAGCATGAAACAGCAGAGATAAAGACTCAATGCCAATGGGTTCCCACCACAGTGTTGGTGGCTTCCCCCTTCCCCCACGGCACCCCAATGTAACAACAAATAAAGACAATCTATAAGAGAGACCATGACACAAGAGAGAAAAAAAAATCATCAACAACGAAGATCACCAATTTTTATAAGGCTAAATGCTAACAGATACCCAAGATATCAGAACTCACCACCACTGGCATCGAGTCAGATTGTTCCATAATCACCAAAAAGCAGCAAGCAGACCAGTTAACAATCCGGGTCCTGTACCAGTTAAATCCACATATAAAGTATAAAACAAATATGAGAAGAAAAATTAAAAATTAACTTCAGGTTTAAAAGATTGTTGGACATGCTTACCAAATCTCTGAGAGGAAATAGACTACGGCTTGGCTAGGGTTTTCTCTGGGCTCGATAGTTAGGCGAGGGACTGAGAGTCAGGTGTCGCGGAAGGAAGGGAGAGCCTGAGATGCTCGACTGAGGAGGACGACTCCAATGAGTTGATCGAAAAAATAGACAGAGCCCACCCTCCCCACAGCTCTCTTTGCGCTGGAACTTTACACGATTTGCCGTGGTGAATTGAGAGAAGTTGAACGTATGGGGTAAAGCCTCAATTATCATGAGGGCATATTGTATTGATTTATATAGTATTACAGATAGAGTCCTATATCAAATATGATAAGAATACAATGCAATCAGATAACCAAGAAGAATCCCACATGGGATAGACGTAAATCAGTCATCTAATATGAACAAGGCGCCAGAGGAGAGAAGAGAGAGTCGAATAAAAGAGTTTAAAATACAATTCTCAAACAACAACAAAAAGTTAAAATACACTTTGCATGAGTTGGCATGCCACGTCACTTACTTGGATGTTGGCGGGCCATTTAAAATTGCACCACATGCACATGGTATGTATAGTGTGCATCACATAGAGAGGATCAACAAAAAATTCTTGACCTACTTGTGAACCGTGGCTCTATCAGAAATTGTTCTTCTAAAGGAATCGTCTAAGACCCATCCACAGTCTGAATTCCCTTTGCAAATACCTCGAAACCTACGCAAGGTTAGCGAACCCTACGCCTATCTAAGCTAATGTTTCACTGCGAACCCTGCGCCTGCTGATGTTGCTCAATTAAGAAACATAATCTCTTAATAAACACTCATCATTTTAATTTTTAACTCAATCTTTTATTGTTTTCTCCCAATGTATACTTTCATTTCTAAAAAAACTATAGAAACAGTAAGTACCTAAACAAAACTTGATCCTTAGATTTTAAGTTAATAATTTTAGCTAGCTCACCCATTGAAAAATTCTTAGTTATGCCCTTATTCTTATGTGACTATGTTAGATGAGTCAACGTATATATTGTATATATTTACATTATGTTAAACTTAGATGTGAATTAACAACATTACGTAATTACACTTAAAAACTTCACTTAAAATATTTTGATTTGGAATACACTCGAACCCAAAATAAAGTATAGTTTGCGTGAACTACTCTTTGACTGATTTAATTTCACCTACTAGCAAAAATAATGAAGATGTGATTTAACACAACATACTAGAGGGAGAAAAAAAACTTGTCTTTTAATGCTGATACGATGGATGTTAAAGAATTATCAACTAATGGGCTTGGATCCAAATTAGCCGATCGGATCCAAATTTGACCCGGATTTAAAACGTGCATTGGATCAGATTGGATCCGAATTTTTAGTCGGGTCAAAACTGGCGGTTCAACATGGCAGTTGTAACTTGTAAGTTGTGAACTCTCGGTGGCTCTCTTAAACCCGACCCAAGCGAGGTTTTAGAACAGTTCCGCCATAGCTAAAGCTACAAGACCTAATTTCGTTCTCCAATTCTCAATCCAAATGGAACAAACACAACAGTTGCTATGGAAATCGGACTTATCGGATCCATCAGAATCCTCTTCGCAGTCAATGATGTCAGTGACGCTTGGTAGAGCAATGACCGCTCTGCTCTCCGCTCGCCCCAGAAAGCTAAACGACGCCGTTTCTCAACTCTCCCCTCACCCCCTCAACTCAATCGGTCACATCTCCATTTCAGCTTCTCTCGATGACTCCCTGCGGTTCTTGCACAAGTATCTAAACGACGCCGCTGAGAAGAACGAGCCCCTCCACGAAATTCTCATCCCCATGCTTGAAAATGTACCCAATTTCATTTTTCTTCGCATTTTTCATTCGTTCACAATGCAATTGCTTTTGGGTTTCTCAAAATTTTAAAATTATTGTTATTATTTCCAAATTCAGTCATTGCGGTACAAGGACACGAAGAACGGTGGCCAATCCATGGTGCTTTTGAACTGGCTTTTTCAAGACGATTTTCTCTTCCAATCTATTGCAACGGACTTGGCTAAAATTATTTCGACGAAAGATGATCGCTTTATAGCGCTTGGCTGGTGTACCCTTGTGCGTGCTCTTTTGGACCACGAGACTGCTATGACCCAGTTTCCCATGAATGGTAAGAAAGCCTAATGTGGAGTGTTTGAAGGCCGTTGCTTTAATTATCTTTAACAGCGGAATTTGAGGTTTTACCGCTTGAAATGACAGGAATAATGGAGAGGTACAGTGATTTGTTGAAGATACTCTCTTCGTGTATTCCGCACCTGTCGCGTATTGTCGAAAAAGGAAGGTATTTGATTACTTGATGCAAATTGAGTGCACATCTTGTATGGTTTTTGTTATATGACTTATGTTTTGGTTTACTTGTCATATTCAGATTTATAAGGATTTGAATATCATGCATGTCGTGTTTGAATTAGTTTTAATGTCTTGTATAACAAAATTAGGCAAACAATTTTAATGTATTATGTGACAAATCACAATAAACGCAATGCTTATTTTTTGGTTTTATTTGGTCGTATTTTCAGCCTCTTGTTTTTGTAGCACTTTGCAGGAAGGACATGAACTGCCATCTCGGCTTGCTGTCTCTGCTGCTGATTGTTTTTTAGCTCTCACAGAAGCATTGACAAAAAAAGCAAAGGTTGCAAGTAACAAGCCCAAATTGTCAGATTCAAATGCACCAAAACGACAGCTTACTTTAGTGGCCATTGACAGTGGAGAAAAGAAAGCAAAACCAGCTTCTGAATCTTTAGTAACCTCAAATATGGAAATGGAATATATACTCTGGGATCATTTAGAGGAACTTATTTGTCTCGTGCAGAAACTCCTTGCTGTAAGTTCTTTTTGTTACATTCATATATTCAAACACCTCAAATCTCAAACTTTTACTTTGGTGATGTTGCTATTTTTCAAAATAAGTTGAATAATTAGTATGCACATCCCTATTAGTTATAAATTGTAAAAACTAGGAGTTTCTGTCAGCAGTTCATATATTCTTTTACCAAATCTTTCCTTGTAGTTTTAGAAGCAATCTTTAGATATTTATGTTTAGTCTTGGTTTCACTATTTCTGTATTATATGTAACTTGTTTCAAACATGAACGTTGTTACATTTTGTCACCTACTGCAGTGGAGCAGAAAAAGCCGATCTTTACATGCCAAAGGATTGGAGCAAGTGCTTCAGTGGTTACTGGAGATAAAAGGGCATTATCGCCACTTTGAAGTTGAGGCAGGTCCTCTACCCATTCTTTTATTAAATATCACGCCTCTAATGGTGTCTAATTTTTTATGGGTCATGGCTTCCTTGTTTGTAACATGAAAGACAGGTTCGAAGGTTATCAAAACTGGAGCATTGCTACTGTCTTCTTGTTGGAAGCATTATGGCATGCTAATGCACTTGGAAGATCAGAAATTTTCTCATCATTACAAAGAATTATTGGACCAATACTTAGCAGGCGTACAGGTTATATTTTCTCAGCATTACAAACACCTAATTTCATTAATATAATCCAGGAATATATGAACTTGACTTTTAATTATTTTAAATTGCAAAATAATAAGAACTGTTGTTTGTTACGGTATATTTTTAAATTCTCATGCTGGGCCATGATTTCTTCCACTTTTTGGGAGCGTCAACATCTCTCTTTTAATGTGAATTTTTATTTACTTTTACTTGATGCAATTGTTAACTTTCTGATAAGAAAAACATATGCAGCTTTATGCAGATAATTATGCAGGAGGGCATCCTGAGAATAAGGATGGTGGTGCTGAGACCAGGAAGTTTTTCCTAAATTGTTTATGCCTACTATTGGGGCGTTTTGACTGCAAGAAATTTGAGACCATAGTATCAGAATATGGGATGAGGATATCACATGCACTTTTACCACAGGTAGTAATTCTTGCATCCAGTCTTGATATAATACTCATAAGGATAACTAAGATTGATTCTTTAATACCCATAATATTAGAGTTGCCATTGGAAGGCCTCCTCTTTTTTTTCTT